CTTATCATGACTGATCTCCAGCCCAACCCGTTCCTTGGACAACTCGAACTCTCTTGTCAATGAGAAGCCCCTGATAGTAAATGCACAAACTTTGGGAAGGGTGGATTTCCTTGGGCTATTAACTGCTTATGAGGTCTATCAACTGAATAAAGCATCCATTAATGACCCTTGTTTATTTTTATCTTATTATTTTATTGAATATAGTTGATTTACAATGTTGCTAGTTTCTGCTGTACAACAAAGTGATTCAGCTATACATATATTAAATCATATACTATTAAATAAAAGAATATATACATATATATTCTTTTTCATATATAATTCCCTGGGCTATCCAGTCGGACCATGTTGTTTATCTAGTCTATGTACATAATAATTCGCATCTCCCAATCCAAAAAAGGAACACCAGGCAAACTCTCCTGAGACTGAGGGAAAGTCTAAAAAATATCCTAATATGCATTCAATAAAATATGTAAGTGATAAAAAGCAAATACAATTGTAATGAATTTTTAAATTGATGGTATTTTCACACGTATAGACCAATGGAAAAGAAAACAGAGGCCAGAAATAAACCCTTGCATACATGGCCAACTGATCAACAAGGATGCCAAGAACACAGAGTAGGGGTAGGAGAGTCTCTTCAATGAATGGTGCTGGGGAAACGGGACATCCACATGCAAAAAAGTGGAATTAGGCCCTTATGCTACACCAGATACAAAAATCAACTCAAAACAGATGAAAGATTTAAACATAAGACCTAAATGCATAAAGCCTCCTAGAAGAAAACAGTACAAAAGCTTCTGGACATTGCTCTGGGCAATGACTTTTTAGATATGACACCAAGAGCACAGGCAACAAAAGCCAAAACAGACAAGTGGGGCTTCATATACATAAACTCTGACAACTCAGTAGCAGACATTTAAACAACCCAATTTTAAAATGGGCAAAGGTACACTGTTGGTGGGAATGTGAATCTAGAGATCTGCCTGCTTCATTGCACCTGTACTTGACAATACCATTATTTAAGAGGGTAGATCTCATGCCAAATAGTCTTACTATTATGAGAAAAAAAGAGATGGTGTCATATTCAAAAAAATACAATAGTAACAATTGGACATTCTCATATGAAGGCCCTAATGCTTTCCCACGCTTACACTCACACTCAATATCAACATGGGCTTCAGTGCTGTGACTAGTTTTCTTCTCTCCAGGACCTGGTGATTGGAATGACACTAGATCTCGCTGGGCAATGCTCTTGCTGTGTCACCATTTTCAGACTCCTTCCCTGGTAGCCCAGCTGGTAAAGAATCCACCTGCAATGCAGGAGTCCCTGGTTCGACTCCTGGGTCAGGAAGATCTCCTGGAGAAGGGTTAGGGTACTCACTCCAGTATTCTTGGGCTTTCCTGGTGGCTCAGATGGTAAAGAATCTGCCCACAATGCAGGAGACCTGGGTTCAATCCCTGGGTTGGGAAGATGCCCGGAGAAGAGAAGGGCAACCCACTCTAGTATTCTTGCCTGGAGACTCCCCACAGACAGAGGAGCCTGGCAGGCTACAGTCCATCGGGTTGCAAAGATTCAGACATGACTGAGTGACTAAGCACAGCACAGCACATCAACCTTATCTTTGGGGTTCAACTGAATCAGTCTGAACCATAACTCTGACTCTGAACGTGAGTTAAGATTAATGTCATGAAAATCAAATTTCAGGTGTTCAGCTACAAAGATAAAGCAGTGTTCATCAGCCCCTCCTGCTGGTGTCAGATGAGCATCCTCACCTGCAAGCCTAAATAGGGCCTTTCACAGGAGCAAACCCAGTCATTACAAACCTTCCACAGGCACAATTTCCCTGGTGTTGCCATTAGCCTTTTTTATTGTAATAACTACTGATTTCCTTGTAAGTTGGGTGGACAATAGCTGTGTGGACAAGAACAAAACCTGAAGACATACACCATTAGGTTGAAAAGTTTTGAACTCTCTGCTTTGTAATTTACCAGAGAATAACAAATCTAGTTCTATTCAGGGGATTTAATTCACATTAAGTACCCGGGCAAAATCCAACATTAGCCCTGAAAAGCTAATATGATTAAAGAGTTGATGGACATTACTTCTCTCAGACTAATAAAGTTAATTTTAATGGAGTAATGTCTCCCTGGCAGATTACTGAGAATGAAATCACTAGCTAGGTGTTGTATACATTACAAAATGCTAAACAAATACAGGTCATTATCCAGGTCTCTATTCTTTTGTTACCCTCCAGATTCTGCCTCTTATTTCTTTTCCTAAATCTTCTTTAGAGGCCTTAATCTAATTATTTAGCTGACGGAAACCCTCAGGCCTGGCTTACTATCACCTCATATTTTCAACTAGTAAATTGATTCAATAAACACACTTGGAGAGCTACCAGAGGCAGGTTATGGAGTTGTTATACTAATATACAAGATATTAAAACAGCAATAGACATTGTATGCTACATTCCAAACTAAGACCATTACACACACACATTTTGGAATATTTGGCTAAGAAAGAGACAACTCTGTAAACCCTTGCTTACACTGGACACATGAAAGAGTTGAGAGAGATTAAAGTCATATCCGAGATTTGCAGACTGGGCACTCTAACCCAAGAATGCAAAGTAGATGCTACCTCCTATCCCCAACTCAAGAGAGAGGGGTCTCAAATGCAACACCAGGATTTCTATATGAGCTTCTGGCCTGGTCTCTGATGTCCTCTTGAAAAAGTTATAAGTAACAGATGGGATGCTTAAAAATGAGACAACAAAATAAAATGACTACATGAGGGACCTGGGTTCTCATGGTTTGTCAGTGGAAAACAGGAGTGTTTTGTATAGCTCCTATGTAATGCATGCTACAAAGAAGCCAGGATAGTGGCCTGACATCATTTCCAAGTGGAAACCCAGTGTGGCACCCCATTAAAGACAATAACGACCACAATAATCAAGCATGCTTAACCTTCACAAGCAAGGATCATCTGTGTGGGGTTTTTTAATGTTTATTTATTTCGCTGTGTTGGGTCTTAGATGTGGTGCACAGGCTATCTATTTGTGGTGTGTGAGCTCCAGAGCTGTGGGCTCAGGAGTTGCTGCAGAAGGGCTCAGTTACCTGGGATCTTAGACTCCTGCTAAGGGATCAAACCCACATTCCTTACATTGAAAGCATGGGATCTTAACCACTGGACCACCAGGGAAGTCACTCATTTGTGTTTGATTGCAGCTTTAAGGGAAGGCATTGTCTTAAGCAATTACTTACCTGTGTTGGTATTGGCATCACACTCATGAGACGCTGTGCGGTCCATGAACAGTGCCTTTGGATGACTTCACATAGATATACTAAACACTATGGAAGCAGGAAACTTCAAGTATATGTCACATACCCATGTACTCAGACCATGTGACTTTTATTGACATGTTTAAATTGATACTCAGTATGGCAGTGAAAGCAGAAAGATAGTGTAGATGTTGAAAAATAAAAGGACGGAACAACTCATGATTCTGGTAATACTATGACACACATTTTTAAAAGGACTGTCAGTATTTTTGCAATCATATGTTATTAATTATATTGTACTGAATCTATGGTGGAAGATACTAGATTTTCTCCTTTTCAAAAATGAAGAATCTGCAAATAGGCTAAAGAAACCCAAGATCCTATTTTTTGAGAAAAGGGACAAGGTTAGTGCAAAGAAACTCATCCATTGAATAAATCTCTGCTTATACTTCCATTGGAGTAATTTTCAAAGTTGTGCTGACTACACTGAAACTGTAGAATGAAAGCCTCCAGCCACAACCTTCCTACCCACTGGGTAACACCTATAAATGCTCTTACATGTGTTCTATGGGCCCAGGGAGAAGCAGATTTGCTTATATTCTGCATGCCTTCTGTAGAAGACCAGATCCCTCCCAGGACTTAAGAATTACCAAAGTTGCTTGAGTTTGCACTCTGGCTGCAGGTGACAAAGGATCAAACGAAAAGGGAGACCTGTGGGCTCACGTCCAAGCATGGCTGCAGAGAAGCTGGCCTTAGATGGTGCAGAACCAGAAACTCAAATCCCACTAGGATGCCTCCTCCCTACAGCTCGATGTTTGTATTTCCATTTCTTTCTAACTGAAGCGCAGTGTGTGTGGGGGGAGAGGGAGGTGGGCGTTGGTGCCAGACTCACACTCTTCTTATGGCTCAATGAGCAGAGACGAATAAGAAAATTGGTTTCTCTCTCATCTTCAGTTTTCAACACAGGATAAATAAACTGAATCGTACATTTTGGGCCATACAGCCACCCCTTATAAGATCACTCTGGACAAAGGAGAGTTACCAAAAGAGGCATACCCATGGCCCAGCTCCTTGGACAGGGGGTGAGTCTGTTACGAGAGGGGCAACATAGATGTTGGTTAGATACCTGGGTAGGGCCACTTCAAAATGCAAGCAAAATCTACATACCACTGGAAAATCACTCATTACTAAAGGAATGCTTGGCTTCCCTGGTGGTTCAGCGGTTAAGAATCTGCCTGCAATGCAAGAGATGTGGGTTCGATCCCTGGGTCTGGAAGATCTCCTGGAAAAGGGAATTGGCAAGCCACTCCAGGATTCTTGCCTGGGAAATCCCATGAACAAAGAAGCCTGGTGGAATACAGTCCACAGGGTTTCAAAAGAGTCGGACTCGACTCAGCAACTAAACAGCAACAACAAAGGAATGTTAGATACATGCGAATAAATAATAACACATGGAAATCTGGGATAATTAATTTTTATAGACAAATGAATGATTGACTCTGACAAGGAGCAAAGTCAGAATTCATGTAGGTAAACATTTTCACTTGTTCTTTCATGAAGGATAACATCTTTTCTTTGACAAGAGCAAAAGAAAAAACAGTCACTTGATTAGAAGTGGTAAAGTGTGCTAACTTTATTATTGGCTATCACACCAATCTCTGTTGTATCATTCCCACTTTTAAACCATTCCCAAATGAGAAAAAGGACAATCACACTGATCGACATCCATTGGGAATATTTATTGTGGTTCTTAATGCATTTCCTAACACCTATGGTACTCTTTAAACAAGAACATAAAGTAATCTACTTAGAATTTGCCACTCAACATGAGGAGCTTTCTTAGAATCACAGAAGACGTTTACAAAAAGAGCAACCATCAATATCATACATTTTCCAAACCATTACTCTAACACAGATGCAAATTATTCTCCAGACCATGAAAATTCTCTAGAAAGTCCATTTTACCAGTATTGGGAGAGGAAGCTTTCAAACATGCAGCCAGCCAGAAAGACCATTTTATATATGGAGTGTGCTTCTCTCTTTCCTCTAAAATGACAGAACTGTAGCTGTATCTGAAGAGAAAGTGAATTTAATGACAGCCATTAGCTAAAAACTTGCAGAAATGCCTGTATCTGGCATGAGAGGAATGATATATTGTACTGTAACATGCGTACCTCTATCCAGAGGACAGCAATCTGGCCTGTCTTCAGGGTGCCTGGACTTCTCTCCAATTTGATACCCAGGACGCTTGGTAGAGCCCCTGGGGAACTGTTTGATAACTGAGGATACCTCAGAGGAGAAGGTCCTTACAAAATCTAATCTACCATGTTTATTTCCTAAGGAGGAAGTTCACTGCACTTCAAATCCTGGATTTGCTTATCATTATTTTCCCTAGTTTGATAAAGCTGAATAAAAAGTATTTTGTTCAAGCAAGAAGCCTGGGTAGAAGAAAGAACACTGTTCTGTAGAAAAAGGCATTCAATATTTAGAAACTTTCCCAAAAAGAAAAAAGAGACCCTGAAAAGAATGAATTCTTGAAAAAAAGAAAAACTAAACCTCTCCTGTCATTGTTACTGCAGGTTCATGATAAATTGCCCCACAGCTCCTCTTAGCTTAAGAGGAGGTATTATACAAGAAGCCCACAATACCATAGAGAAAGACTTCTAAGGATCTTTCTGGATATACAGGAACACTGCACTGTTTGAAAATGAGAAAACTGACTAATCAGTTAGCCTTCCTAAAAAAAGAAAAAAAAAACTGTCATCTTTGGCAAAGCACAGGTAGTTATTTGGTTTGTTTATAAAGGCAACTTCTTGGTTGGATGTCAGCACCAATAGACTCTACACCCTTCGGTCTCTCCCACAAACCAGGTTACTTCTCTCACACAGAGATGCTCCTGTTTGCCTTCTTGGGCATTTATTTTAGTTACCAAAAGTGGGGAGGGAGAAGGGATGCACTAAGATGTAATCACAAAGTCAGAGGCTCCAAAAGAAAAGACAAAGAAGGCTGAAGGAAAAACCTAATCTTTAAGACAACATTTCTCCTAATTCAATCCACACAAATGTTATCTTTCAGAACTAGAACAATGCTGCCCTGGGTATTCTCTGAGTGGAGTTCTTCTCTTCCCTCTTCCTTTTTTTCTACATGTCATGATTTAGTTAGGAGGGAAAGTATACCAATGAAACTCTCCCTAAAGGCCCATCTTGGTACAAATTGTGCACAATTTAATGTATCTACCACAGAAGATGAAGATAAATCCAATGTGAGCACCAACTGTAAATATGACCTTCTCAGAACTTATAAAACGAATAAGCTAAGCATATATATTTTTCCTTTTGGTTATTCATTAAAATGCCATAGCATGCTGGAGAGAACAAAATCTATATGGCTATAAAAGCAGTAAGATGCTACAAGAAAACCAGACAAAAACTTTGTAAGATATACAATTATGATTACTGATGTCCTTCTAATAAACTCCTACGTGGTTAAAATGAAGAGCACACGGCCTAGAACAACGGTTTACTACACATTTCAAGTCGAGATCTGCCGCATTGGTATGAGTTTTGGTGAAACCTGGTAAAAGAAAGAGAAAAAAGAAATTATGGACTTATGGAAAAAACCTCATGGTATAAAACATCTCTGCTTTGAGTTTCCAAAACTGAATGATGTAGGCAACAAGTAGTCTTGCCATAGACCTCACCTGGAGTTTCCTCATTATTTTCCCTTTTGAGCCACTGAGAAAAAGAACACTTTTATCCATTTACATTTTGTGTATCTGGTAGTTCTCAACCTTCTTGCATTACAGCTCTTAAAGATATTTAAGACTTGCAACCAGGAGGGTGTGGAGGAGGAGCAGCAGGAGATGAACAAGGACCCAGATAACCAAACTCTCCCGAACAGCCCCCTGAGCTCTGGGACTGATGAAACTTCACTCAGAACAGAGCCATGGAGCAAGCCATGAGTTTCAAAATCCTTAAAGTAGGTCCAGTCAATTCACAATTTTGTTAAGGGATAATGTAGTCTTTGGATAACACACTTTTATCAGAAATTTCATAATCAAAGTAGAAATGATAAAAAGGCAGTAAAAAGATACCAGGTTATTATAAAAAGGAAGCAACAGCATTAAAAATATTAAATATTAACTATGATTATGTTCAACATACCAAATAGCAAATGAATTCCAAGGAGTCTTGAAGTAGAGAAATATGAGGGCAGATCTATATTTAATGCTAAAGCTGGTAGAATAAGAAATCTAAATGTCAGTGTGTGTGTGTTAGTTGCTCAGTCATGTCCAACTCTTTGCGACCTCATGGACTATAGCCCATCAGGCTCCTCTGTCCATGGAATTCTCCAGGCAAGAAAACCGGAGTGGGCTGCCATGCCTTTCTCCAGGGATCTTCCCAACCCAGGGATCAAACTTGGGTCTCCTGCATTGTAGGCAGATTCTTTACCATCTGAGCTACCAGGGAAACCCTGGGGGTAAGTAGTCTGGCCTAATTTTGATGGATCTTTCAAGGTGTAATAGCAGGTAAATTTAATCTGGCAAATATCCATTAAGTCTTAGTTAACAGGCTCCATGGAAAGCACAGTAAGGAACATTAAAATTTAGGTGATTTTTGAGCCCTTCAAGGATGTGACAGTTGAAGGGGATCTAATTTGTCTTTCAGAATAAACACTTAAAATTTTGTTAAATGAATGAATGAATGAGTGGGCAATATAAGCCTCAAAGAACTAGAAGAAAGGTCTCCTAATAGACGTTAAGTCAGTAGTAAAAACAGAAGATGATTATTTGGCTATGATGAGGTTAAATATTGCTATTCATTTGTAAATTGTTTTCTTAAGTCTTCACAATGTCAAAAGTTAATGTCTCCTCTTCCATTTTTCTACCTAAAAATGCCATGACCAGAATCAAAAAGATCGGAATGGCTTGGTACATATCTTAGGATAAATGAGAGCTCACTCAGACTTGCCAGCTCCAAGAACAGATATATAATAATAGACAAAATAAAAGATGTTAATATACAAAAGTCACAGATCTTCAATTCTACCGAAAAGAATAAAGATATCTGGGCTCTGAGTATTTAGAGTGTGTATGTCATAAACAATTGATTTTCTTTTTTTAAACAACAGAGCATCTGTGGAAATAATTTAATGAGATAAAACTCTTCTTTGGAAACAGGTCATTTTCTAATATGTGTTTTAATAGCATTGCCTTTAAAAGGAAACTGGACACCTTGATTTTTTCAAACTAAACATCTGATCCTTCTCCTTGTCATGCTGGCCCTATTTTGAGCTCTTAGTAACCTTTATAGCCTCAGCGTGGAACTTGACTTTTAACAGAAAAGAAGATGAACCTTTAGGTACACTGACTTGGCCTATTTTTGTAAAGAAAAACAGCTACGAACCCACCATTTTTCATCTGTTCTCTCACACTCTCATCAACATGGTGAACCCAGGTAAGCTGAAGCAGATTATCCTGCCACAGTGATCTACAGGCTAAGCATAGGACTGTATGATTTATGAGCAGAGGATAAGCTAACAAGTTTTCTTCCCAGTCCATTGAAATCCAAAGAATATACTGTTTAATTCTGGTATAATACCAGTTCATAATAGACATTGAGAATACAAATTTATTCAACTTGGCAAAGAATGCCTGCTTTTTTCAGATTCCCCTGCAAATATATCAATAGGCAGGATTCTTATTTGATTTGTTGCCACTGGTGGTTTAGGTGTATTCCTACCTACAGAAAAGACCAAGGCCCTTGGGAGTAGGAACTACACTAATTTTTCCTGTTTTATTCATATTTCATAGCTTAATATATTATAATATTAATATTAATACACTGGGTGTTTAATAAACAACCATGGAAAACTAATAACCTCTGGAAGTTTATTCTACTACATGATGTTCAACTATAAATTCAATTTATTTTTAAGTTTTTAAATTAAAAAAAAACATAGAACTTAAAAAATAAAACAAATATTCTAGTTCAAAAAGGCCCACAGATATATGTGGTAAAGAAAAACCTATTTTATGTAACTCAAGCATGAATCAGAAAAGAAAGAAATGAATATCCAATTGAACCAACTACTTTGGAATATAATGGAATTCAAGTGGTATGATGCCACCTTCTTTTTTTTTTTTGCTGCACCACACAGCTTGCATGATCTCAGTTCCCCCGACCAGGGACTGAACCTGGGCTGCGGCAGAATCCTAACCATTAGGCCACCAGGGAACACATCTCCTTTTTCTTTCTATTTGACCCATGAAGTAGCTGGCAGTAACACTCTGAGTGATGTAAGTATAGCCAGAAGTAAAGAAATTTAACATGTTCATTAGCTTATCACAGCTTTAATATGAGAACTGTGCAATATCACTTTGGCTCTTTGAAAATGAATTATTACTGAATATTTGAGAGATTTTTTTCGAAATGTGAGTGCCTTAGGAAAAAAAAAAAACAAAACGGAGAACTCCTTAGTCATAAAAATGTTTGGTGCTAAAATTATAAAAAAAAAATAGAAAAGCATTCTTGCACAGCATCACAGTCAAGCATTTGTAGGGGGTGAACGTGTGTGTGGCTTTACCAACCAATAGCGCTGGTATGAAGCATTTATTCCCCACTGCTCACAGGGAAGAACACTTATCAGTGTAATACTCTGGCCTCAAGTGTGTCCCCTAAGAATGACTTGGGCAGAGGAACTGGGGGTGTGTGGAACTCAGTCTGACTCTTCTTCCTCAGCCTTCTGAAGGGAGCACGTGCTGTGTGGCTCTCAGCCACGTGGAAAGAAGTTCAGTAGAAAAGACTCTCCCCTGCGTGGAAGGCCTGATTTTTCAAGGCTGCCTATAACTGGGAGTGGAGGTCCCTCTCACTTCAGGGGTTTGTAATTGGGAAAGCTTATGTGGCTGTACATCTAAGCCACATTCTTCATCCTAGGCTTCATAAGATAATGTTTTAACCTCTCTTGTCCAACTCGCTCATCTCTCTCGATAGATTTGGAACTCAATCTCCAAGAAATACAGAGGAAAGTCCCTTTCTTTATAACAATTGCATTTTGAAGGAGAGCGATCATATGGAACAAGACCTCTGTCCATTATGGGTTGGCTTCTTTTGATGTCAACTACTCCTGACCAGAATCTTATTTTAGAAGCGTGAGGAAGTTTCCTGAAATATAGTCAATATTTGCATTTCTTTCTACAGCTTTCTTTGGAGTAGCTGACAGAGACTTTCATACTAATTGAAAAGAAAATTCCTTTCTACTCACATTACGGTTACTATGGATTTTTTAAGAAGCTATTTCAAGTGATACCTAAAGGACACATTTTCCCTTCACATTTGCTGTTGTTGCTAATTGCACTGTGACATACAGGAAAGTCTTAGTCATTCTATTTTTTTTTAATGTTCAAATATTTCATTACCATTATTTTTAATACCCTGAAACCTCAATTTTGTCATGTCCTGTTATCTGATGTTGTCATATTTGTCCTTTTCTTTGAAATTCTCAGGATCTTCTCCATCAGCTCACATCCACATTCTATATCCTTTGCCCAGTCCCTTGCCCATATTCTTTGCCCAGATTTTTACCAACACATTTTCATAGTTACTTGACCAAGGTCTTTACCTTTCTTTGGGCTAACTATTCCTTTCTAAAATGTTCACTTCTCAGTATACAGTGAAGGCTGAGTGGCCTTTTGTCAAACAGAGATCTTGAGTAAATTGTATGCAGTCACATAGAGTAAAATGCTATCTATGCAGTAATAATCATGAGATATCTTTTGAATTATCAAATAAAGAGATGCTCTCCCCATGTACTTTGTTATTAAAAGTAGCTTGCTGATAACCCAGCTATGAAACAGAGCTTGCAAATAAGACCACTTCAGTCTCTATAGTCTTACAGAGAATTTGATACATGTGGATTCATCTGTCAGAGTCTAAAGAGATGCCACTGATCATTAGATCCTCAAAATCTAGTTCTTCTGTTGAGATGGTCTAGCTGACACTACTAGACCTTTTCATTTTCAGAGCAATGCTGACATAAAAATTAACATTTCATTTCAACAGCCTCATTTGGAGAAAACAAAATTACACGTCAATGCCAAAAGAGGAGGGTTGCTACTGCGATAAGAGAGGGGCCACAGAGATATTTTTCAATGTATCAGACAAAACAAAAACAGTAAAAATCCATCTTTCTCATTCTTGATTTACCTATATGACTTAAAAAAAAAACTGATAACGAGGATATTCTTTTACAATTCCCTTCTGTAGCAGAGACTTGAACATTCTACAGAATGTCTCAAAAATGTCATCTGCTGAAGAAGAGGTTAACTTATCCACAGAGGGGAAAAACTATAAAGAACAGCTAACTAAGGAAGAAGAACTGTTTGCTTTCATCACTGGAGTAAGGAATTCTAAATAGTTAAACTATAAACAAATCCCATTTGTTACCCACTGAGGTCACTGAAAAGTTAATTACAGATGCGCTTTTCATGTAAAGAATTGTTGGAAGACTTCTTTTTTCTGAAAGGAAATTCAAAGAAGGTTAATAGACAAAGACCTTTACACAGTACCAGAAACAGTTATATGTGGATCGTGAATTATGCAGCACAATTGTGTTTACAGATGTTTGTTAAGCACTAATAGGTACTAGCCAATCATGTAGTACCTCAGGAAGAAAGGTAGAAATACATGCATGATTTATCAAGTAAGTTCCTTGGCTGCTCAGATGGGAAAGAATCTGGCTGCAAAGTGGGTCAGGTTGATCCTCATTGGGTCAGGAAGACCCCTGGAGAAGGAAAAGGCAACCCACTTCAGTATTCTCGCCTGGAAAATTCTGCGGACAAAGAAGCCTGATGGGCTACAGTCCACAGGGTTGCAAAGAGTCAGACACGACTGAGCGACTAACAGTTCGTTAAATTACTTTCTCCAGGATGGGTAGCTGCAATATTTCTTCTCATTATAAATATATTTCATTTTAACATGTAGAGCTGTTCTTAAAAAGTATGTGAGAAGCTAAGTCTATTTCTTCATTTTTCAGACACATTTCACCTTTACTTTCAATTAATTCCAAATGGACTGAACTCTCTTCTCAATCCCATTAGTTTGGTGATTGGTGATTCATAAATAAGCTCTTATATTAAAAGGCAATTATTTATATTACCAGGCCCGAGCTGGTCTCAGTAGTAAAGAATCCGCCAGCCAATACAGGAGACACAGGTTAGCAGGTTCTATCCCTGGGTTGGGAAGATCTCCTGGAGAAGGGAATGGCTACTGACTTCAGTATTCTTGCCTGCAGAATTCCATGGATATAAGAGCCTGGAGGGCTACAGTCCATGGGGTTGCAAAGAACCGGACACAACTGAGTGACCTTGTGAACTTTATTCTCTTTGTTTAAAAAAGGGATTTGGAGATTTTAGTGGATACTCCTGATGTTCTTATATGCTTTGTAAGTCAGAATTTTAAAGCACGCAGTTTTTCTTCAAATACAGGAATCATCTATTTTGTGATTATCAATCCAGTGGTGTTTGTTAAAAGCTCAACATTCAAGAATCGCCCATAGATGGAATGATCAGGCAAAGAAGTTAATCAGAGAGAAAATCAAATTCCAGAGATACATTTCAAAATATGGAAGTATCATCTGTCTGTGTGGCTCACATTTTTCAGTTAATTAAGTTTGGCTGTGCCTTATACATAACCCAGGAACAGAGGACTGCAAGGAATGTTACAACAAACAGCTTAGAGCTCAAGCTCAACCTGCTGTTTGCAGGAGCTCCTGGTGGGTCCTCCCCCTCCTGCTTCTGATCCCTGAGCCAACCCCGTCCCCTGAGTCAGAGCCTGTTCCTGCTCCCACCTGCTCTCACTGGAGGCAGCCGTCCTTCCACTCCTGTTCCTGCAAAGGTCAACTCCAAAAATGATCACAAATTAATGGTTCATGTCCCACAAATACCCATTAATCAAGCTCGGGGTACAGGACAAGTGGCTGGATTAGTTCACAGAAACACTTACTGTGAAATCACACCCAGTGCTCTTTTTTATGTCATCCACTGTCAGGCCTTCCCAGAGTTCAATGAGAGTCAGACCCTTCTTGCTGTCCACATCAAACACAGCCTGTCAAAATCAAGAAAATGACAATGACTATTCCTATCACTGTAATTATTTTATAGCACAAAACAGAAATAACCTCACAAGTTTTTTAAGGACAGAAAAGACCCAGGGTAAAAGACTGAAAATTAGCAATGAAAACATGTCAACTCTAACTACTATATTTTGGTGAGAATAAACGCCAACTCCTTAACTGGCAATTAGTTGGGGAGCACTGTTGATGCCAGAAAATAAATGAATGTTGACTATTGATGGCATTTGCCACTATTATAACCAGTTTTCTTTTTTTTAAACTATTTTCCTTTTGTTAGATCTAACACTTTTGGTCAAAATTTAATTTGGTTCATTAACAATGATCTGAAAAAAAAAAGGAGGAAGAAAAACAGGGAGGGAGGAGAGATTTAGAAAGTGAAAGCAAAGGGATGATGGAGGAAAGGTGACTGAGGCTTCTCGGTAAATTACCGGAAACAAAAGCAGGTGCTCTGAAGTAGCTAGGAGTTACTTGATTTTTGTTTTTTTTAAATTTTTCCATGTGGACCATTTCTAAAAGCCTTTATTGAATTTGTTACAATGTTTGCATGTTGTTTTGTACATGTTAGTTTTGTGGCCCTGAGGCATGTGGGACTTTAACTCCCTGACCAGGGACTGAACCCCAACCCCCGGAACTGAAAGGTTAAGTCTTAACCACTGGACCACCAGGGGAGCCCCAGGTAGGAGTTAACTGTAAAGGGACAGTTCGTCCTGAAAGACAACCCCCTCCCCCAGGTAAATATCAAAGCTTTCCCTTAAGTCCTGTGAAAACACACAGGTCTGAAAGCATAGCATGAGACTCTCCCTCTGGTGTGGAAATCAAATGAAGATGCTTACGTTTAGGAAAAGCATGAGAAGGCTCACCTCACCCTAAACACCGCATTTCAACATTCTGATTGGTTATACTAGGTGACGGTGGTGCCAATTGGTATAGCTTGACCCAAGCAGGTACATTCAACCAGCTGTGTCTGATACAGAACACGTGTGGTCACTCTTGGTAATGCGACAAATTGAGTAGAAGGGACCCACAAAGTCACGCAATAAAATCTTCCACACAAGAATTCTTCAAAGCATCCTTCTGAGATGGTCTCTGGGGCTTTGTTTAGAAACTTCCAGTGGTAGAAGGTTGGAGAAGACTCTTGAGTGTCCCTTGGACTGCAAGGAAATCCAATCAGTCCATCCTAAAGGAGATCAGTCCTGGGTGTTCACTGGAGGGACTGATGTTGAAGTTGAAACTCCAATACTTTGGCCACCTGATGAGAAGAGCTGACTCATTTGAAAAAACCCTGATGCTGGGAAAGATTGAGGGCAGGAGGAGAAGGGGATGACAGAGGATGAGATGGTTGGATGGCATTACTGACTCGATGGACATGGGTTTGGGTGGACTCTGGGAGTTGGTGATGGACAGGGAGGCCTGGCGTGCTGCGTTTCATGGGGTCGCAAAGAGTTGGACATGATTAAGTGACTGAACTGAACTGAGTGGTAGAAGGCTCACTTTCTAAGGCAGATTACCTACCAATGGGAAGCTCTAACTGCAAGAAGCAGAAGTGCTTCCCTAAACATTCACTCATGGACTCTATAGAAAGCTGTCCTCCCATGCACAGGAACTGTTCCCTCTTCCAGTTTTCAAGGTCAGTCTTCCTCAGACTTAAACTTTATGCTTCCCAGATCTTTCCTCTTCTCTGGAATCACCTTAAATTCAACTATTATTTTCAGCCTTAGAATCTTTATTTTCACCTACCTTGGAAGCCCACCCCTAAACTGACATTGTTAAACACACTCCTGGAGGCTATTAAAAAGACACAGCAATGTGTACTCCAATATAAAATAGAAGTTTGTAAAATAATAAAAAAGAAGACACAACAATATGTAGTGGAAAGAATCCTGGCTTTCAAGATGAACTGGAACTCCAGCTCAGCTGACAATAGCTATGCAATCTTTGCTGAACCTATCTTCACATCTCTAGATGTATGTCAAACAAACCTACTTCCCAAGATTGTTATACAGGACAAATATAATAACAAACCTACTCTAAGCAGCTGGCCTCATGCCTGAGACATAGCAAGGACACCACAAAGGCATATCCTTTCTCCCACATGTGCATATGTGTGTGAACACAAATTAAAGCCCCAAATGCTTATCTGTCCCCAGATAATTGATATTTCTCCTCAGGAGCAAAACATTAAGGGGACTAGAGATATTTGCTTTGTTTGATGAATTCATAGACACCTGATTGGCTTTACTGGAAAAGATGGTTTAAATTTGGGATGATATATTTCAGCAAACTTTTTTGCTTCCACATTTTAATGTTCCTAAAGAAACTTTTTTCAGCTGAAATATGTTTTGAGGGGAAAAAAATGATCAGTGAGGAACGTCTGTATGATGCAGTAGGTTATTCAAAATGACAATTACAATTTTTTTTTAATTGGCAACTTTTTCTTTGCAGAAAATGTGTTTGGAGCATCATTCATACTATATTTTTCCCTTGTATTATGAACAGCTACAAGTTTATCAAAATGGAACAAATAAGAGAAAAAGAGCCTTATTGTGTATAACTGTGGTATTATGAGTATAAGGCTTCGGTGATCAAGAAGATAAACTCTGTGGCAAATGACATTGCTTTTAAAAACCTTTTATTAACATCTTTATCAATCCCTAATTAGCTCTCAGGTTCATATATTAGAAAACTAAGTATTATGAATTTAAAAAAAATGAGAAATCTACTTTTGAAATATTGAGGGAGATTCCCCACTTAGTCGTATAAAGTGTAAACAAAAACTTGATAAAAGACAGACACTAAAATCTAAAAGCTACAATCAACTGTTCAACTACCAAGAATAATATTTCAATTACTTTGTTTTACAGATGAATAATTTTATTATTTTTTTCACCACCATAACAGGCTGCATTATGGATAAAGCAATTAGTCAGAGCCCAAGTGCTGTTGAGGAAGGCATCTATCATCCCATCATTCTAGCAACACAAAACCAAGAAAGCAGAGTCGTAATATCTCTGAAGCCTCTTTCAAATGGCAGGCAACTAATGGAACTTTCCTTAAGAGCTAAAAATGGAATTCTAGTCCCACATCTGCTCTGGCAGAGTGTTCACAGTCTTTTTAAACTTCATAGCATGGAAGCATTTATTAAGCATCTTCTATGTACAGAGCACAGGGGAATACGCTACCTACTCCATTGCCTGAGGCACCCAAAGTGTCACACCTAGCTTCCTTTACCTACACAACGTCACCTACAGATTAGGTTCCAGTCACCCCCGTCTGCTGAGTTCACACATTCCTTCCAGTGTGTGAGCTCCTTCACACTTCTCTGAGCTCCAGATACCCCTCTTCACTTGTTTATCAGAAATCTCAAACTGGATACTTGGATGTCACCTTACTCAGGAATATCAAGTTGAGTATGCTCAAACAAAACCTATTTTGTCGCTGCCTCCCCTTGCTCCCCCCTTACTCTTCCTGCAGAGCCAGTCTTCATTAAAGATAAAAGAGGTAAACAATGCCTCTAGCCAGAAAACTCAGAAATCACCTCTGCCTTAGCGACTATGCCCCATTCATCACCAAGTTAGGCTGAGTCCATCTCCTAAATCTTTATGAAATCTCTCTTTGGGTCTTGTGGTTTAGGACCTTGCTATTTTTGACCAAGATACCTGAAGGGAGTTCTCATGGCTTTCCCCCCTAATCTAGGTAAAAACTACATGGCTCTTTACAAAATGCAAACCTAATCAATGGTGCTCCCAACTATTAAACATCAAGAAAGTGAAAGTGAAATTCACTCAATTGTGTCCAACTCTTTGTGACCCCATGGACTATACAGTCCATGGAATTCTCCAGGCCAGAATACTGGAGTGGGTTGCCTCTCCTTTCTCCAGGGGATCTTCCCAACCCAGGGACGGAACCCTGGTCTCCCATATTGTAGGCAGATTCTTTATCAACTGAGCCACAAGGGCAAAGTCAATTAAAAATCATGAAGGGCTCCCAACTGCCTTCAATATAAAACTCAAATTTACTAACAAGACATTCACATTCCTTCATAATTTGGCCCCTCACTGGCTTTTCACCTTCAGCCTTCAAAATACCTGGCTACACCCTCACTCCATGCTGTCCCATGCTCCACACTGTCCCACATAAAAGCCCTGGAGTAAGCTGTGTTTTGATACCTCTGTGACTCTGCTTGTTTTCTTCCTTTTGCCTAGAAGGGCCTCTCTGGTCTTATTTTCACTTATAAAAACTCATATTTATTTTTCAAGACTCATCACTCAATAGCATCAAGGAAGGTATGCTATTTATTCAATAGGCATTCACTGTGTACAGGTCAAGCATTATGCTTGACCTTGGATAAATAGTAATGAGTGAGACAGGCAGAGCTCAAAGGTTATTTCAATACAGTGCTAAGTTAGGGTGGAGTCCTAAGACTCAGGGAAGCAACGACAAGACTTGGGGAGAGATAGGGAAGGTTTGCCAGAAGAATCAATAGCTGAGACATAAAAGATGAGCAGGAATCAGTCAGATGGCTAGGGTGGCAAGAGCATGCCAAGGAGAGAGACAGGATGTGCAAAGTCCCAGAAGAACATGGTGTGTGTTGGGGGGGAAGGTGCAAATGATGCCGCATAGTTCAAAGCATTTAGGATGGTAGAAGTGGGGAGAATGTTAAGGCAAAAAGAGAGCAACAGACTGGAGGAGAAAAGACTCAGACTGTGAAATGCCTTGCAGTTAAAAGCTTATATTTGATGGGAATTCCTGGTGGTCCAGTGGCTAGGACTCTTAGCTTTCACTGCCGAAAGTTGTTTTTTGTTGTCACTGAGACCTTCAGTCCTGTCCGACTATTTGCGACCTCAGGGACTATAGCCTGCTAGGCTTCTCTGTCCATGGGATTGCCCAGGCAGAGATACTAGAGTGGGTTTCCACTATCTTCTCCAGGGGATCTTCCCGACCCAAGAATCAAACCCATGTCTCCTGTGTTGGCAGGAGGATTCTTTACCACTGAGAGTACTAGGGCCTGGGTTCAAACTTGGTGTTGGGGAACTAAGATCCTACAAGCTGCGCAGTGTGGCCAAAAAAAAAAAAAAGAGAGAGAGGGAAAGAGAGAAAAGCTTGTATCTGATACCACTGAGAAGCTTTCCTGAGACTCTCTTGAGCCTGCTAAGCAGCTTTCCTCTATGCTCCCAACTCAGCATTTGATCTGGCACGTCTCTCCTGTGGACTTTACTGCATGCATTACTCTAAGTGCTGGCACCTCTGGATGCTTGATGTCAGCTCCACCTGAATGTGCTCCTGGGGGGCAGACTGTCTTCCTTTCTGAGCCCACTGTTGGCAATAGTCTGCCTCAGAGAAGGAGCTCAAAAATATTTATGAAATGAAAGAATGTATAAAACAATAATGCAGATGGAGAGAAGGGTAGAAAGCTTTTTTAAATGGCAGCAAATTTAAATAACATATAAGTAATGTCATGAGAAAATGCAGGCATGTAATCAGTGGTTCCCAAGCTTTTTTGGCACCAGGGACTGGTTTAGTGGAAGATAATTTTTCCACAGACTGGGGGTAGCGGGTGGGATGATTCGGGTGGTAACGTGGAAAGACAGGGAGCGATGGGAAGAAGCAGATGAAGCTTTGGTTGCTCATCTTAATGCTCACCTCCAGCTGTAAGCTAGGTTTAAGATGGGTTACCCAGGGGCTGGGGGCCCCTATATTAGATGGTAAGTGCTAAAATGAATGGTGGGCCACTCTGAGGATGAAATTGTGAGTGCTAAATTATCTGAAACCTCTTCATGATGAGCTGGAAATTATGTTAAAAGATGGGAAGGATTTGGGGAGGCAGAGTTGAATGGGAGCTGTTCCACATGAAAGCACTAAACTGGTAAGAACCAGGCAAGGGCGCACATGAGGGGGGATACAGCGAGAGGGCTCACCTGGGAGAAGAGGAAGATGAGGGTAAAATGTAGCTGGGATTATCCTGAGAAGCCGTACCACATTACTTTACTAAAGAAAACAGGATCAAGGACTGTTTTGTCTTTGACTTCAAAGTAATGGATTCTTTTCAACAAGTCCTGTCCATGATTGTGAAGGAGTTTAAGAAATGGTAAGACTTGGAATAAATGGTGAGGTTAAATTTGTGCTCTTTTATCCGCTTGTTCTTCTCTACATGTCATCTTTATGGATATAAACTGCCCTAGGGGCAGGCACAATTTTAGGACAAAACTCTCCTTAAAATGTGGCTTCTGAAAAGTATTCTAAGCCTTCTACTTCAAAAGGCTACTTTAGGGTGCTTCGTACCACAACTGAATGAGGGTTCTAAACCTGTTTGATGCCAAAAGGAACAGCACCATTACGAAAAAACCAACTCTTGATCTAGAGAATTCTGTTCTGTAGTTCATCAAAATAGTGAATCAAAACAATGAAAATGACACCCTCCCGGCTCACTTACGAGAACAATGTCATTCCAGCATCTCAGGTTCAAATCTGGGTAGGAAAGGAACTACAGTACCTGCAGTGATGCTGTTCTCTCAGTTTCAATTTACCAGTAACCATCTTCTATCAAAGAAGATAATATCTAGAGGCCCTCTAAAACGCAGGTGTGTTCTGAAGTCCACTTTATGCAAGAACCAAAGAACAGATTTTTTGGTTCACTGTGGGGCCATACTGCAATTTGCACCTAAATGGTTAAAACCTAATTTTTATGGAGTTTCCTAAAATGAGATCCAACAATGTGTACTTGCAGTTTAGGAAATCAAAGAAGAAAGTAATGATAAATATATTCTTAACTTTGTATAGATCATCTATTGTATTAGTTCAAGTATAAGGCTCAATGTAACTTTTCTTTGATTGTATCACACTGTCAAAGTACCAAGGGCAGGAGTTCAATTTTGTGCATATATTTCCAGAGATGTTCACTTAAGAATTCTGCATCCAGAAACATTAAATTGATGAATCTTCCTATTCAGTCTACCCACAGATTAAATTAATCCTATGACTACCAATGTAACACACTTTTAGAAAGTAACAAAAAGTTCTAAAATGCTTATACATTTTTTTAAAAAGGTAGCAGGCACTAGAGGAAATAAAAGAGAAAGGCACTTTACCTTTTCAGTAATGATACGGTTGACACACTGCTTTCCTGTTAGAGGTAATGTACATTTCTCCATGATTTTATGTGCATTTCCCTGTTTTAAAAAACATCAAAAAGAGTAGTTAGGGGCTGATTCTTAGAATTGGTATAAGATAGGACAAAAGGAATTAACAGAGAAATTGTCTCCTAAGTACAGGCTATTTCAAAACTTGTGCCATCATGCTTTCACCTTTCTGGAGGCAGCTTGTGTTCCTACAGTGATTTAGGGAGAAATATAAATGAGTAGCCAGAGGCATAACTGGTTTAGTTGGGAAACATCCAGCCACAGATTTGATCTCTCAAGCCTCCGCCCTTAGCTCTTCCAAGGAAGGGTCTCCTTGACAAATGAGTTATGTGTTTTTTACCAAGGGTAGGGGGCATACAAAGGATGCAAATTATAAGGATGCATATTATACATTCTTTCAAGTTTTATTTTTGTTTGTTGAAAAGTAATATAGTCACAGAAAACAGCAGTTCTGGATGCCCCTCTGTATCCTTAGATGTGCTCTGAACAGGAAATCAATTTCAACTTTATTTAGCATTTTTCTATATCCATCTATATATTCATTTTCTTCTTACCTCTGCATTTAAAAATTTTTTGTTTTATAACAAATTTTACTTTACTATCTACTATGGCTTACTACAGGATATTAAATATAGTTTTCCATGCTATATGATAGGACCTTCTTGTTTATCCACCCTATATACAATAGCTTGCATCTTACTAGTCCCAAACTCCCAATTCAACCCTCCTCCGCTCACTCGCTTTCACAAATCTGTTTCTTTTTTTTTTTTTTGACTGAGCAACATGACTTGTGGGACTTTAGTTTTCCAAAAAGGGATCAAACCTGAGCCCTAAGCAGTGAAAAATGCTGAGTACTAACCACCAGATTGCCAGAGAATTCCTTACAGGAATTCTGTTCTCTATGTCTGTGAGACTGTTTCTGTTTCATAGATAAGTTCATTGTGTCATATCTTAGATACCACATGTAAGTGATATCATAGGTATTTTTCTTTCTCTGTTGGACTTACTTCACTCAATATGATCTCGAAACTCATCCATGTAGATATAGATGGCATCATTTTATTCTTTTTTATGGCTGAATAGTACTCCAGTATATATATATATATAAATTTAAGTGGATATTATTATATGATATGCAATATATATATATATATACACACACACACACACACACCCACACACACACAGACTACATCTTCTTTATCCATTCATCAATGGACATGTAGGTTTCCATTTCTTGGCTACTGTAAGTAGTGCTGCTATGAACAGAGGCATGCCTGTATCTTTTAAAATTAGAATTTTGTCCAGATATATGCCCAAGAATGGGACTGCTAACTCACAAGGTAACTCCACTTTTAGTTTTCTGAGGAACCTCCACACTGTTTTCCATAGTGGCTGTACCAATTTACATTCCCACCAAAACTGCAAGAGGGTTCCCTTTTCTCCACACCCTCTGCAGCATTTGGCATTTGTAAACGTTTTAATGATGGCCATTCTGACTGGAATGAGGTGGTACCTCAATGTAGTTTGATTTGCATTTCTCTAATAACTAGTAATGCTGAGCATCTTTTCATGTGCTTACTGGCCACCTGTATGTCTTCTTTGGAGAAATCTCTGTTTAGGTCTTCTGTCCATTTTTTCACTGGGTTGTCTGTTTTTCTGTTATTGAGTTGTATGAGCTGTTTGTATATTTTGGAAATTAAGACCTTGTCAGTTCCATTTTTTTCAAATATTTCCTCCCAGCTTGTAGATCACTTTTTATTTTATGGTTTCCTTTGCTGTGCAAAAGCTTGTAAGTTTGATTAGGTTCCATTTGTTTATCTTTGCTTTTATTTCTATTGCCCTGAGAGACTGTTCTAAGAAAATACTGCCATAATTTATGTTAGAGAATGTTTTGTCTATGTTCTCTTCTAGTTTTATGTTGTCATGTCTTATATTTAAGTCTTTAAGCCATTTTGAGTTTATTTCTGTGTATGGTGTTAGGTAGTGTTCTAATTTCATTCTTTTACATGTAGCTGTCCAGTTTCCCCACAACTTATTGAAGAGACGGTTTTTTTCTCTACTGTATATTTTTGCCTCCTTTGTCGAAGATTAATTGACCAAAGGTGTGTGATTTTATTTCTGGGCTCTGTATTCTGTTCCATTGAACCTCTGTATTTTTAAATACTATGTTGACCAAGCTATTTACGTCTAAATTAATCAGCTTTAGATAATACCTATTAACTTCTTACAGAGGCACATGAAGATTTTCCTCTCCTGCAAAACCCCATGTTTCATCATCTTCAGTTCACCCAGTGTAGCTGTGTCGCAATTCGTACGTAACTCAGTAGTCAGAATTTACACCATGCTGGCAAAATGACTGTAAAATGGCTCACTGATGCCCCAGGTAGTGTAGAAAACCATGATTATATTCACTTTCTTATATGGCTATTTGCCTTTCCTGGAATATGTCTGGGCCTCAGTTTGCTCACTGGTAAAATGTGTGTGCTGGTCTATAGTCATATTTTTTTCAAAGTTTCCTTCAGCTACACTACCTTTTCTTCAAACATGAAAGAGGGATTGAGATGGGAAGCAGGTTTTCAACCATCAACCCCTTTCCGCCATTCCCTACTCCTCCCACCCCACCCAGTACAGAGGTGACCGATGGGGCACATCTCTGGAGCACAGTTGAAACATTAACTCTGATGATCTGATCTTCAGATCACTTTCCTCTGATTATGATGAAGCTCCTTTCTAAGTATCAAGCACCAGGAGCCTAAATTACTATTTCCCTTGAGGCTGAAGGCTAATTTGTCACATTTTAGATCCTCTATTTAAAATGGCAAAAATGCTCCTACTGCTTCCATTTTGGGTCTAAAAGCACCCCACACATGATGCCATCATCATCTTTAGCCATCTCCAAGTTTTACCTTCTTGATTATCACTACTACCTGGCTTATGTCTCTCTCTCAAAACTGCTGTCATACCAAGTATGATCAGAAGCAAAGGATTTCAAATAACTGGGCTTAAGATTTTACTCCTTGTGATAACACATCAATGCACCAACATACGAGTAATTAAGAGGCTTAAGTATACTTAATCCAGTGTATGGCACAAAAGATATTCAGTAATTAAGAGGCTTAAGTATACTTAATCCAGTGTATGGCACAAAAGATATTCAGTGTTTTTTGAATGAACAAATGGGGGAAAAGGGGGAATTCCATTGGGAATCTTGGGTGAATTTCAAAAAATGACAAACTGTATTATTTTAATTTAGTCAAAATTAGTGCTAAATATATATAGAGTGGATAGACATTACACTTTTAACAACAAACTGTATGTTTCTAGATTTTACTGTGTAAGAAAATTTACAGCTGTAGAAATAAAACCTCATTTCTGCTTCATTTTTAATGATCTATTTTCATTCCCAGATTTCAAAGAAAGCTTGCACGTGTCACAGATGCTTAATTAAAGAGCTGAAATTAATGATGAATGTTCGAACTTCTATAGTTGTCAGGACTCCTTGCACTTCATATAAATCAAATAAGACATGTCACAATGAATTCCAGGTCTGGATGTGAACAAAGTGAACAATCTGTGGGCCTCCGAGGAACGTTTTCTGTGGGGAGCTCTTACTTTGTTCTCATTATTTGAGCAAGATCTACATCTGGTGTGAAAGCAGCCACTTGGGTTCCAATGAACAACCAACTCTGGTTTAGGATATTTTCAACTACCAGAATTAACTGTGCCCTACCAAGACAGAGGGGCTTCCCTGGTAGCTCAGCTGGTAGAGGACCCACCTGCAATGCAGGAGACCCAGTTCAATTCCTGGGTTGGAAGAGCCCCTGGAGAAGGGATGGGCCACCCACTCCAGTGTTCCTGGGCTTCCCTGGTAACTCAGACAATAAAGAATCCACCTGCAATGCAGGAGACCTGGGTTCAACCCCTGGCTCTGGAAGATCCCCTGGAGGAGGACATGGCAACCCATGCCAGTATTCTTGCCTGGAGAATCCCCATGGACAGAGAAGCCTGGCGGGCTACAGTCCATGGGGCCAAAAAGAGACGGACACGACTGAACGATGAAGCACAGCACCAAGGCACACCTTTCAGAAACCATTTCCACGTAAGCAGTATAGCTCAGTGATTCAGAGCAGAGCCAAAGGACCTGAGTGGAAAGCCTCACTCCAGTCCACAATAGCTGGGCAAGGATCCTGTGTCCATGCTTATCCATCTGCTATACCTCAGGGGTGACTGTAAGTGTCCAGCACTTAGCAAGTGCTCAATAACCTTGAACTGTTTACATAACCTATACTGAACATTTCCACAATCTACTAGGGAATTCTTCAGGCTTTCTTAGATGGTAAAGAATCCACCTGCAATGTAGGAGACCCAGGTTTGGTCCCTGGGTGGGGAAGATCCCCTGGAGAAGGCAATGGCAACCCACTCCAGTATTCTTGCCTAAAAAATCCCATAGACAGAGGAGCCTGACAGGCTACATGGGGACCGACATGGACACAGTCCATGGGTTTGCAGAGTCAGACAGAACTTAGCAACTAAACCACTAGGGAATTCTTCAGGAAGCCTTAAGTTCCTCAATGAAGTTGAACACAGAATTACACAGAAAATTACAAAGAATTACACAGAAAAGTCACAGAATTCCTGAGACTCACAAAACCAATGAAACTGCAACTTGTATTTGGGAGCAAACCATATGGCTGGCCTAGGATGGTAGCACCAATAGTATTCTTGCAGTGAGAACAAGGTAGCTAGATGACTCCATTCACACTGAGCTTCAAGACATAACACAGATCAAGGAAAAAGAGAAAATGAGATGCAGAAGGATTAAAGAACATCACAATTTCAATATTCAACAATAGGTTAGCTATGAAGCCAAAATGTGACTAACTCCCACGTGAGCACTCTATTCTAACCACACCAGGCTGAGCCTTACAATGTGCCATGATTCACAAAGCTGGGATTTTAGCAATAAAAAATAAATCCCAAAAAAGAGTAGCAGTGTATGTGGTAGCAAAGAACACTTTATTAGGAGT